GCGGAGACCCCGCTGGGCCAGAGGGGGCAAAGTCGCCAGCTTCTGGGACTCTTCTGAAGCTTCCCAAGCCTCAAGAGTCCCAGAAGGTGGCGATTTCACCCTCCTCTGACCCCTGGGGGGCAGGGTGAGCTTCCAAAGGGTCATAGGGTGTGTTCCATAAAGTGGACCTCTCCATAAGGCTCACCAATTTTTAGGAGAAGAAAACAGATTATTTTTTCCTGTTTTCTTCTCCTAAAAATTTGGTGCGTCTTATGGAGCGAAAAATACGGTACATTAAACTCTCCAGAATATAATAGCTGACTGCGCTGCATGCTTCGTAAGACTTACCTATCCCTCTATATATACCTAGATAGGATCTCCCTGACACTTGTCTACTTGTATCTATATATTATTTACCTGCCCGTCTAGATCAATAGAGTTTCTACCTGTCCACTGGATCCATCTGCCTGTCTATTGTCTACCTGTCCATCCATCACGCTGTGAGAGGTGGAAGGCAACAGGAAAAGAGGAAGACTCAATACAAGGTGGACAAACTTCCTAAAGGAAGCCACGACATTTGATTTTGCAAGAGCTGCACAGGGCAGCTGATGACAGGGCATTTTGGAGGCTACTCATCCACAGAGTCACCCTAAATTGTTGGTGACTTGACAGCATATCATAACAAGAACATTTTTAATGCACACTCAAGCAGATTACGACAGACATTTAAAGAGGCGGCGATTTCACAGTCTTACACCCCACTCACCTCGTGAAGGCAGGTGTACTGGACATGGTAAGGTGCTACTTTCTCTTCTCCTTTAATTTCCACACTGATGTGCAGCCGGATCGCTCCGGAGACGGCCGATTTGTCCGTCCGCTTGTCTGAAAAAGTCAAAAGGGGGGGGAATGGAGGAGAACAGGCCAGACGGGCAGAGAAGTGCATTGAGGGTTCTGTTTCGGTCCTGCGGTGATCTGAACAGATGGCAAAGCTGCAATTCCTTTCTATTTGGGATGTGGAAAAATATGAGCAGAGCTGGAAGGGACCCTTTGGATCATCCAGTCCAGCCCCGGTCAAGGAGGCCCAGTGGGGGATTCAAACTCCCAACCTCAGGCTCTGCAGCCAAAGAAGTAACCCCCCCTCCGAGCTACCCAGCAGAGAGAACTCAAAAGGGATTGATGTACTTGTACAAGCCGAGGAAACTGAGCTTCCTGCATGTCTGGGGTTAAGTGTCCACACACTGATAAAGGGAATCAGGGGGTCTTTGTAAAAAAATAAAAATTAAAAAATCCTTTTTACTGTTAACCCCTGTGTAGCTCGTAGGTGTTTTTCCCATGAGGAATAGCTTCGTCCACCCAATTTCCACTTAGCATACGGGGAAGGAATCTTTAACTTGCTTTTGGGGGAATAAATAACCATGCAGGGAGCAGACAGAGAAAAACAGATGACGTCCCTCCGATTTACAATGCCACGTTTTGGAAAAGTTGAGTGTTTGAGCTCTCGGATTTTTACTGGTGGGCTGCTCCCCAGGGGATCCCTGAAGGTCTAAGCGTCTTATTTGGATGAGGCTGGATAATAGCAGTAAGTACCATCATCATCATCATCTCAGAAGGGCAGAGCTGGAAGGGACCCCTTAGGACCATCTAGTCCAGCCCCTGTCAAGGAGGGCCCCGTGGGGGAATCGAACTCTCAGCATCTGGATCCACAGCCGGATGCCTAGATCACTGAGCTATCCAGCAGTTTGTCCACTTTGTGTTTGTGACTGCTTACCTAGGTTGTACCAGACGTCCATTTCCCCACTCAGCGTCCGGACCTCAATGATGGTCTGACCCAGGAAGTCGTCGGATTCTCTCTTAAAGCGTTGCTTCACTCTTGACTTGATGTCATCATCTTCATCCCACACCCGGACTTTGATCCGGTCGGAGGAGTTGTGGCATTCACTGGTGGCGGAGGCGGTGGAGAAAGAACCGCCATGTGAGGAGGGACTCATGATCCCAGGGATCAACCTTTCCCCCTTTTCCAACTTTCTACAGAGAGAACGTGCTCTGGCCATCAGATTTGGAAATGAAGCCCATATTCCCCTTCTAATGACTGATCACAAATGAAATCACGCTAAATGCAAGATACGTAGGCGAGGAAAATGGTATGTTGTGATCTTTCACTCCTGGAGCGAACCCTTCTTCTAAAACAATGCTTCCCAACCTTGGGTCGCCAGATCTTCTTGGACTACAACTCCCAGAAGCCTTTACCAACTGTGCTGGCCAGTATTTCTGGGAGTTGTGGACCAAGAACATCTGAGGACCCAAGGTCGGGAACTGCTGGTCTAAGAAACATGCTAAATGAATCACCCAGTTTGAACATCAGAGAGGCATGGGATGGTGAGTGATTGAGGATTGACTTACAAGTGAAAATTCTCCTCCCAGACGGGGTTCAAATTGCCGTAGATGGTTTTAGTTCTTTTCTTCGTCTTCCCAACCTGGACGGTGACGTAGGGATCACTGGAGCCAGTTTTATCCTTCGCTTGGAGGCCTTGCGCACAGACCACTGACGGGTGTGAGCACGTCGTGAACACGGCCGTGGTGAGACACGGGATAGAAAGTTATAAGAGATACAGGGGTGGTAAATCAAAGAAAACAAAAGAAATCAAGAATTAGTAGCAGACAACAGAGAGGGAAAAGATGGAGGTAGAGGTTGGCATTTAAGAAGACTCCGTATATAGTCTATACCTCTTTCTTCTTGTCTGTTCTTCCCCATCTCTCTCCCCTCCATGTCCTTTGTATCACCATGCTTGACAACCGACTATTAAACCCTGAAATCTTGCACCCATTTTTATCTTTTAGTCTAACGAAAACAAATGGCTGGAAAGAATGAACAGGGGGTTTCGAGATCAAATCAAGCCAAACTTTCTCTGGAAGCAAAACTGAGGCTGTTCCTCTTTTGGGCCCATCAGGAGAAGGCAGGATTTCCTGGAAGAGACCGCCATCCTGGAGAAGGCAGAAGGCAGCAGGGGAAGAGGAAGACTGAAGACAAGACGGATTGACTCAATCGAGGAAGCCACAAGCTTGAGTCTACAAAAACTAAGCAGGCCTCTTGAGGATAGTACCTTCTGGAGAGGACTCGTTCATGGGGTCACCATAAATCAGAGGCAACCAACCAAGTTCAAGTTCCCGTAGATTGCTTTTATCGGAGGGATTTGATGGGGGACTTGAATTTATGTACTTTAGTTTACTGGTCAACACAAGTGTTTCGCCGTTCTGCTTCCCGGTATGCAAGAGACCACCCCCGCCATGCGTTACCTGTAATGCTGATCTTCGCTGACCACTTCGAAGTACCGTCCAAGACGCTCTGTTTCACGGCCTTCATCTGTTGGGTATGGGTGGCTTTGGCGACTGCAAATATCTCCTGGATCAGCTCAAAGATTTCCGGTTTATTCCGCTCCCGAATCTTCATACGGTCTTTCAGGACCATGATGATGTTCTGTGTGCGGTCTTCGGCACCGTGCTTCGAACTTTTCTCCGCTGCCCCTGGGCACGGAAAGATTAGGGCCGGAATCAGGTTTCAAGAGAGGTCTCATCATCTCGTTATCGTTACTCTTATCAGCCACGTTGTGGTCCTTCATTATCATTGGCCCAAATCCTACGCACCCGGAAGCATAACATAAATGATGGAACCGTTGTTGGTGGGGAATAGTTGGTGCAGGAGCTGATTTTTTGTGGAAGTCCATGTTCAGCACAATTTGGGTAATAACTAAGCGCTATGCATGCGCGCTCCACCAAACTCTTCAGCTGTCGTGCAACGGTAGACAGCGCAAACACATTGTCTGGGTATAACGCGGGTATAACTCCACGTTACGGAAACGTAAAGAGGATTCAGCCCATGACACAACTGACGGGCATTGTTCTGACTGAGGAACCTGCAGCCGTTGGCCACCAAAAGTTACACGATTTGTGTTACACCCTCAGTAAGATTTGGGCCACTGTGATGCTAGTTATTTCATGGAGAGAATTCCACCCCTTTGGTTCATTCAGAAATCCAGTTTGCTGGTAATGACTGGAGTGGGATGCGAGGCACAACGTGGGCCACCCCAACCAAAAATATGATATAAATCAAAAGGGTGTCCACTAGATTTCACAAAGGCTGTTCTTTTAGTCAGGAGGACAATCAACGGGAAGGTTTATATTTTGCTGCTTCTAAATCTGTTTTTACGGGTGCTTTTACCTAACCCTTTTTAACGGAACGTTATTCATTCTTCTTTATATTTGAATAATTTACCGTATTTAGCTTTCAATACCGTGTTTTCAACAATGTAAGCCACTTCAGGGTCCTTCTTGATGTTCTTGGACTTCAACTCCCAGAAATCCTGGCCAGCCGGGGGTGGTAGTGAAAAGGCTTCTGGGAGTGGTAGTCCAAGAACCTCTGGAGCCCCAAGGTTGGGGACCGCTGCTTTAAGAGATGGGACATAAATTCCAAATGGCTACCTGAGGATTGGCTACCATTCATGCTGATGCTGTCTACACCTAAGACGCGAACCTGGCCTCAAGACCATCAGCCACACTTCACGTCCCACAATCTGGGAGATGAAGAAGATGACTTATCACTGAAAGCTCACTTTTTAAATATACAGTATATGAATTCTTAATAGTCGATGAAAGGTATCATCTGCTCCTGCATTTGAACAGTTTTAGTAGACCCAGAGAGGAGGATAGGAGAGCTAACCTTGAGCTCTAGAAAGTAGCTTTTAAAGGTGCTATACTTCTCCTCTGGGAAATCTGATGTAATGGGTAGTTGTATTCCTGTGGGTTGGTTTTATGATTTAGAAATAAACGTCGTCGTCGTCGTCATCATCATCATCATCATCATCATCATCATCATCATCATCTTATTATTATTATTATTATTATTATTATTATTATTATTATTATTATTATTATTATTATTATTATAAGCCTTGTTCTGAGTTGCCTTGAGTTTCAGTTCAGAGAGAAAGATGACACGGAAATTAGTGCGACCAACTATTATTATTGTTAGTGTTAATCGTCTATGAAGAGTCCCGAGCCCAAAGAGGCGACTCTCACTCTGTAAGCAGTCGGCATTGAGGAGGTCTTGGCACTTCTCATGGCACTTCACCCCGCACTCGGTACACCTCATGCCTTGGCGGGCGATGCCCCAGAGGAGCCCCTCGCACTCGTAACAGTAGGTGGGCGTGGTGGCCGTCCACACCTCGAAGTTGTGGGGCGTTGTGCAAGATATAGGGTAGATTAAGGCTTGTAAGGTCTTCTTGTAAACATGGTTTTTCTGCCAGGAGGAAACAGGAAAAACAGCAACACTGTTAGAGAACGCTAGAGAATGACATTAGACAATCCGCTCTGGTTTTTTGTTGGAACTTTCTGGTTGCTGGCCTATCCTACCAAAGAGGTTCAGGAAAGTGGATAGCTCCCATTAAGATCAGACCCAAACTGGGAATGGATTCATTGCCTCTTATCCTGGATACGTCAAAGTCATATTGCTGTCAGCTGCTCATTTGATGGTACAGTACTACAAAGGACCTTTCAGTACTATAGGACTGACATGAAACGAGCCAAAAATACTTACTAGCTCTTCGTTGTTTAAAGTGCTTGATGCGAGTGCTGACGTGATCCCAGCTTTCCGGGACTGAACCAAAGACTGGAGCAGGGGAAAAACACAAGAAACAACCAGGTGATTCCAAACAAGAATTTTCCTTGTAGCTGGCGTAATGGGCCTTAGTGCATATGTGCTAACCTTAGAAGTTACAGGAATACGGATGCTAATTTATGCAACAGCGGGTATGTGGTGGCAACGTTAAATAAAATTTATTCGTGTAAGTTGATCTATGCAATGGCAGGCAACAGGAGATGGATTTAAGCCCGGTTGAGCTAGGAATCAATTTGTCATGAAACAATATAACATTTGTTCAGCTTATAGGAACATTCCTGGAATCCATATGAGATATTTTTCTAAGACCTGACCTTGAGCTTACGGACACAGGGTCAATTTCGAACCAAAACTGTGTGTGCTGATATCTGGGAGGGGGCATATGTGAGACCGAAAGGCAGCACAGAAAATGAAAATGCTATACTCACCATCGCCTGGACCGTGATGGGTGATGGCCAGATAAGAATGGGAGAGAAGGAAAGAGGAAGGTAAATTATTACAAGGACTCGGAAAATGAGAAAATCATTTCCTTTAACTCCTCAAGGATTAAGAAGAATCAAGCACCCCGTCCCAAGGAAGATTTTGAGGTATTGGAATGGTTCGTCCTCCAGAGGTTGACGGACACCAACTCCCATTGTTCCCTAGAGGTCAGTGTGATAATGGGACCTTGGAATCCAGCTGCTAGGCTCAACCAGAGTAGATCGTGAAGAGCACACAAGATCCCCAAATGTGGGACCTGAGAATGGAAGATTAAAGGGATGAGTGTACAAGGAAAGCCTAGAGGCAGATGCTCGTTCACTGTCAGGGGCGAGAAGCCATGGCAGCTGGGGAGCACAATTCTAGAGAATTGGGTCCCAAAAATCTCACATGGGGTCCTCCAAATTATGAGCACATCTTTTTCTTTAGATCAGCCCTGGTGGTGGTGGGGGAAACCTTGGGACCAAAAAGCTCCACTGAGCACATCTTTTTCTTTAGATCAGCCCTGATCATCACTGATCTTTAGATCAGTGGGGGAAACCTTGGGACCAAAAACCTCCACCTTAAAGCAAAGCAAAAAAGCAAAGTGTGCTTTTTATATACCACCCATAGAACTTTAAGCACTCTCTGGGTGGTTTATAATTTTAATTATGCCAGCTACACATAGTTTACACACTCACCCCAGCAAGCTAGTTACTCAATTTCTCAGCAGGATAGAAGGCTGAGTCAACCATGACCTGGCTACCTAAGCTCGGAATTGAACTCAGGTTATGAGCAGAGTTTTACCTTCAGTACAGTAAGACCCCCTGTATCTATGGGATCAGTATCTGTGGTTCCACTTATCCACAGTCTGAAAATATTAAAAATATAAAAAAGGGGGGGAAAACCCTAGAAATACATATTTTCATGGTGTATTTATTAGAACTGGCCACTAGAGGGAGACAGAGAAGGCTACGTAGCCTTGTTGTTGAAAAACACTTACTGTATTTTTCCATTTACAAGACACCTCTGTTTATAAGATGCCCTCCCCCATGTTTCTAACACAAAAATTAAGAAATCTTAGCTTTGGGTATTCAGCCTCTGGGCTCAGAATGCTTGGACATTACGAGTCCCTATTGAATCTCAGCCTACAGGCTCCACCTCCAACGAGGTGTGTTCCAATTGGTTTGTTCAGCATCAGCTGACATCAGTTCCGTAAGGCTTGTGATTGGAGGAAGCCTGTTTGCAGAGGCAAGGTACGGGTCGTTTTGTTCTCAGCTTACTTCCATGTATAAGACACCCCATCAATTTTTAGTGTAATGATTTTAGGAAAAAATAGCATCTTATCCACGAAAAAAATACAGCTGCATGGTCTCTGACTTCTTCCAGTGGCCAGTTCTAGTAATACATGGTGGAAATCCGTTTTTTCTGGATTATTTTTGTTTGTTTTACCACACTAGGTATAGTGTTCACTATTATCCACAGTTTTCAGCAAATGGATGGGGCTTGGAAGCAATCCCCCATGGATACGAGGGTCTCTCTGTACTAGTTTAACCACTGCACCATGGGGCATCATCTCCTCAACACCTCCTGTATTTCTCCTGGTTCAGGGAGGAAACATCTTTACCCCTTGGATTTCTCCATTTGGGCTGGAACATTGCATAACTATAGCCAATTCAGTGGCGCTCTTATGGGTATGGGGTTTGGGGGGGGGAAGGTGTGTTCCGTTGGGGAGTGGCTTTCCCTTTCACCTTGTTCTCTCACCAGATCACTGATGACTAGCGGAAGAGATTTACGTCCAGGCCTAATGTCGGGCATACTGTCAATGCAGCGCAGAAACTTGACAGCCGCTCCCCTGAGGATGGGGGAGGAGAGAGAAGGCAGCAGCCACAACACCATCATCACAGAGAAGCAGAAAGGCAGAGGAGAAGAAACAAGAAGAACGAGCCGTATTAGCAAAGCAAAGCGGAAGCTGGTTAATGAGGCGCTGGGCCCTGGAGCCGTGGTAATGGAAAAGGGGAGCTTTGGACGACCCCCCACCAAACTTATGGCCGGTCTGGTCTGGGTGCAGAGGAAAGAATGGGGTTATCCAGGCTTAGATTCTGCGCTTCCGTTACATCTCCTGTTGAAAGGTACCCAGAATCGTTGTTGTCATCAGGAATGGGAACTGAAGTCATGGGACTCGGTCAAGTTGGACTTAAGTCGCACGGCTGGCTCGACATGAACTCAACTTGCTTTTCCCCCTACGATTTGAACTCGACTCACAACTTGGAATCAACCCACCCCTCTCTTTTCCTTGGAGAAAAGAAAAGCTTGTTTTTAATAGGGACCCGGACTTGGGACTCAGACTGAAAGATGCAGCCTCGAATTCGGGACTTGGACCCAAAGACGTGGACCCGGATTTCAGGTTCCGATCCAAAGACTTGCCAATATCCCTGATAGGAATGTCAGAAAATGACCAAGTTAAGATCATTTGGACAACATTTGGATTCAAATGGCCAGGCGCCTGGAGCCTAATACACCAGTTGGCCTTTTCCAACTCCTGCATTTAGCCACGGAAAGACATCCGTTTCCCCAAATGTTGAGTCTGGGCAACTTTTTCAGAGCAACGGCCAACCATGGTTGAGTGTCTGGATGTTAAGAAGCCATCGTGGGTCTGAAATGCATCCCTCTTCCATTAATTGGGCTCCAGGGGAGGTGGGGGGGCGAACGTGTTAGCAGCGCTCCTCTGTTCTTGGAGCGTATGAAGCCAGCTGCTGCCAGGGCGAGACTCAGAGAGAGAGAAACCAGAGAGCGAGAGAAGAGAGATGTCAGGAGAAAACCTCACCAAATCGCTAACTAGAGGGATGGGTTTCCTTTTACGAATATCGGGCATGCTATCAATTATGATCAACCCGCCACCAGGCCTGGAAAAAAGGATAAAAACAGTCAGAAGGTGGAGGAGGAGGAGGAGGAGGAACAAGGAAATGGATGTGGAGGAGGAGAAGATGTGGGACAGGACATGCATACACCCTAGGCTGCTTTGACCAAAATGGGTTCACGTAGGACGCCCTCACAGCGAGCTTGGAAGAGAAGACGCCAGTTGGACCAGATCCTCAGTGGCACGGGTGAGGACCTGAGTTGTGGGACTCGTTCTCAGGTTGGACTTCAGTTCCGCAGGTGATTTGATCCAGACTCAACTCCTTTTTCCCCCCCTTTTCAATGACATAGACTCAACTTGTGACTCAGAAACCACCCACCCCTCCATTTTTATGGGGAAAGAAGCTTGTTTTTAGTAGAGGCTCCGACTTGGGGCTCGGGACTTCATATCAAAGGCTCCGACTTGGGATTCGGACCCAAACAATGGCCAACATCCCTTGTAGTTGGGGCTGTTGGTACATCCCTCAGCATCCTCCCCCACATAACTTTTTTTTAACAAAAGAGTCCATTTTGGCTCCAACTAGCATGGCTGTCTGGGTTTTCGGAGACCACATTTGGGGGCCATCTCAAACCCCTTCCACTCCTCCCTTCCAGAAAAAAAAAACTGGGGGATGCTGAGTATAGAGCAGGGAAAGCGGGTGACCCCAGCCCTTGGGTGGTTAATGAGTGTCTTCCCTAACGGCTTCCACGCTGATCACAAACCAACAAACCTCCCTGGGCTCAAAGACACAGCCCAAGGTTATGGGCTTTACCTCCCCAGCTTCCCAGTTTCAAACCAGACCCGACGGTCCCTCTCACTCACCCGCCTTTGAACCACAAGGATTTCGACTCCCCGTCTCCTTCGCCACGAGCCTGCGACACAGGAAAAGGCAAAGTTAGAGCCCTCAGATATGGGCAGGAGGATTGCACAGAGGAGACCATGTGACAGGTCCCAGCAATAGTGGGGTGCATGTGTGGGGAATAAATAGAAAAGAAGGAAGGAAGGAAGAGAGAGAGAGAGAAGGAAGGATCTAAGGAAGGATCTGTCTGACAGACAGACAGACAGACAGATGATAGATAGATAGATAGATAGATAGATAGATAGATAGAGAGATAGATAGAGAGAGAGAGAGAGAGAGAGAGAGAGAGAGAGAGAGAGAGAGAGAGATATGAGAGAGAGATAGAGAGATAGAGAGAGAGATAGAGAGATTAAACAGAGGTGGTATAACCCCTGCTCTAAATAGTGACGGTCGAGATGCTCGACCTCCACAATCCAAGCCTATCAGGAGGCCCTGAGGAGATGCCAGCCCTCCCTGACCAAGGCACACCAGCAGGGGATGTCCCAGACGGGAGCTTCTCCCATGGAGACTGCCTAGAATTGAGTAAGCTTTTAAGGGGACCACATCGTCTTCTCTGGTCGGGGCCGGCTTCCTCGGCGCCCAACCCCTGCGGCCGCTTACCTGCCTTCACACGGAGCTCCGAACCGAGGGGGGCGCGGAGGCACAGGTGGCGGTGAGGCTGAGCAACTGAAAAGTGACGATGGGGGGCGGCCCTCCCGCGAGGGGCAGCTCGTTTGGGGCCGAGCGAAAAACGAAATAAAGAAAAAAGATGGCGGATGGCATCTAAAAACCAAGCAAACAAATGATAAGAGGGTCAACGCAATTTGAAAGGAAGGAAGGAAGGCGAGGAAGGGTGGGTGGTGGGAACAGGCAAAGCAAACCCAAGCCGGAGAAAACAGAACCATAAACGGGCTGAATAAATAAATAATAATTAGCAGAAGCACAATGAGGTATGGAAACAACACCATTTGATGCGAACAAGTCTCGTGGTCATCACCGGCGCCCCGTGCAGAGTTTGGGTTGGTGTTTTTTGGGGTTTTTTTACCCCCTTGGTGTAGATGAGGTGCCGGAACATCTCTCTTCCCAAAGGCCCACCTCGCCACCTTGTTGTGAGTCCTAGAAGGCTACCAGGTGCGACGAGAGGAACCAAAGGGACACACGTGAAACTGGCAGCGCACCTTACGGGGGGCGCGAAATCCAGCGAATTTGAAGCAACCCCGGTTCCATCAAGGGCGATCCAACATCCCGAGACATTGGGTCTCATTCAGAAGCCAGACTGGGCGGTCTGGGAATTCGACCTCTGAGCAGAATGATTTGGGGAGCCTCCCCGTACAAGTAGTGGAGAAAGGGGGCGGGGCTTCCAGCTTGAAGGGGTGGTGCTTCCAGCTTGAGGGGTGGGACTTCCAGCACAAGGGGTGGGGCTTACAGCTCAAGGGGCGGGGTTTACAGCTCAAGGGGCAGGGCTTCCAGCTCGAGGGGAGGGGTCTCCACCTCCCTTATCTGAACCTCTCCGGGATGGGGGGCTAGGGTGTGTTAGCCGCCACCCCAGGACCACGCTCACCTCCTGGAGCTGCATGCAGACTTTGTTGAACGCTCGTAACCAGTTGGCCTTGGCGCGGGCTTTCGGGTCCACCGGCTCCGCCTCTTCTCTCTCCCTGCAAGCAGAGCACCAGGGGTCAGCATCGCGTGGGCCGCCTCCGGAGTCCCAGAGAAGGGCCAGAAATGGCCATGAGGCAACCCCGGGGGGCCTGGGCCTCCCGAGCATCTGCTCAGAGACAGCTATGGGAAGGAAAGGGCCACTTTTCTGGAACACGCCCAGCCGGTGGCTGCCAGGAGGGTTCCTGTGAGGCCTACGTGTGTCCTTCTTCTGGGGTGCCGGGGCTGGGTTAAGGGTTCCTTTCCCCAGCTTCGGCCCCACTCAGGGGCGGTGGGGATTTGCTATTGCCAACTCGTCGGATTTCATAGGAAGATTGGCTTCAAGGAGAAAACACCGCCATGCCTTACCTGTCCTCTCCCTTGGGGAGGATTTCCTCTGGACCTTTCTCCTGTCCTGGTGTCTCTTCCACAGGTTGGATCTCCACAACATCATCAGCCTTCTCTTCTTTGTGCTCCTGCGGCGGCAGCGGCGGGATCTTCTGTTGCGCCTGCACCGGGGGCTGCGGCTTCGGCTGCGCTGCTTTTTGCTGAACGGGTGGCTGCTGCGGGGCTTGCTGCGGTGGAGTCGGGGGTTGCTGCCCCGGGGGTTGCGGCTTCGGGGGTTGCACCGGCACCACCTTCTGCGGCACCGGCTGCGTTTTCTGCTGCAGCGCCTGTTGCGCCGGCTGCGGCTTGGATTGCTGCTGCGCCTGTTGAGCCTTTGGTTGCTGCTGCGCCTGCTGCACCTGTTGAGCCTTTGGTTGCTGCTGCGCCTGCTGCATCTGTTGTGGCTTTTGTTGCTGCTGCTGCTGTGGCGGCGGCTGTTGCTGCTGGACCGGTTGCGCCTTCTGTTGGGACATCAGAAAAGGTGGCGGTGGTTGCTGCTGCGGGAACTGTCCCTTCGGTGGTGGCTCTTGCTGCTGGTGCGAATCCCGGGGAGAGGAGGGGAGCTCCGTTTCCCCTACATCGTCCTCTGGGTAGTAATCCTCATTCTCGCTGTACTCGTTAAACTCGTCCTCCTCCAGATAGAGATCATCTTCCTCCTCCTCCTCCTCATCCCAGTAGGGAGAGTCTTTATGGTAGCTCACCGAACTGTGGCAAGAGTGATACGAATCCCCATCCCGCTCGTCGAGGCTGACATCGTCCGGGTCAAAATCGTCACTCAGCTGGGAACTCCCTTGGCTCAACTCCGCAGAGGAGGCATAGCGGCTGCTCCCTGTGGGGCTGTGGTGAGGGGTTTGGCGGGGAGCACGGAGCATTTAGAACCGGAGAAACAGGGAGGGAGAGAACAAAAGAGACACAGAGGCAGATAAAAGGATTTACAGGGGTCCCAGTGGGCCCAGTTGCCACCGATGCCTAACACTTCCGCCCACCATAGCCGCCTGCCACCTCTGGTGAACGACACCTGCTCTTCCACGCCGTACGAAAGGGGGCTTCTCCCGTTCCCACACCTCATTCCATCCCAGCCATATTCTAGCACTGGCGCATGATCGAACCATCGCAACGGGCGCCCACGGTCAGACGGGCAGATACCATGGGACTGTTTCCTAAAACTCTTCCACGGGGCCCCACTTTTCCTCAAACAAACTGGGTGGCAGAAATGTGGCAAGATGGGTTGAGAAGCCCTGAGCCTTATGCCCCGTTGTTTGTGATCAGGTCTACTGGCGAACCTTTTTTTGGCAATTGAAGTCTTTCCCCAGATACACGGCCGTTCTTTACCGGGAGCCATAGGAATCGGATCTTGTCCACCCTTTCCACTACAAGCCATGGAAACTAAGGGGTCTTCTCTAGTCTAGTCTTAATCTTTCCCCATAACTATGTCGACTGTCCTCTCACTGGTCCCACAGATCCAGCCAAGCGACCACCCCTGATCAGCTGCATGTAGAGACAAAGAGGGTGGACACAGAAACACCAACACTGCCTTGCCTTACACAGATCCTCGCTCACACCACAGTCACAGGGATGTGACCACACACAGTACGACAATGGCTACTTCTGCCCATCAGCGACTGGCAAAACCGAAGGAGTGATCCACGGACTCCAGTGAATCTAAGTTTGAGTCCTCTTTGCATGCGGGAAGGAGGAAATGAAAAGTACGTAGGTCTCTTTGTCCCATGAGATGGAGGAGTTTCACAGTGCCCCAACAGAAGAGGGGTTTGGGTTCAATTTGAGCAGAACCGCAAAAATCATGGTTTAATGCCAAGGAGCTGCATGGCTTCAAATAATGGACTGCCTAGAGATTTACAGAGCAGAAGCACTCGATGGGTTGCTCGTATCTTTTCGAACCATCAAAACAGTCCCCTTGAGTTTTTGACTGCTGTTTTATGGGCCCTCTGATCAGCTAAGTGGGGTGGCATGTTCCCCCTTCTCCCCCACATTCTCCAGTTAGTGAGCAGCAGATCACCCACAGAACAGACACAGAAACTGGGGGAACGATACACAAAGAGGATTCACAACGGGTGGGAGAGAACGCCTTCAATCCCAGGAGATAACACTATGGCAGCTGGACCAAACTGCCTCTGAGCAAGCGCAAAAGACCTACAGGAAAGCACATGCAGACATTAGTACTCCACATGCCTGGATTAGACCGAAACCACACTTCCAGTGCTGGCGATGGGAAAAGAGGACGCACGGAGGGCAACCTCACAGAGGTGCCCATCAGCTCAGTCTCAGCTTGGTATTAAACAAAAGAGTTTTGCAAACAAAGTTGCAAGCTTTGGGCAACTTAGAAGGCCGGCATTGCAGTATGATGGCTGCTACTTGGTCGCAAAGGCAAAAGGCATGAGCACCCCATCCAGTGCTTCTGGTCTCTAGACCAGAAGCACTGGATGGGTAGCTTGCATCTTTTTGAATAGCCAAAAAAAAATTAACATTGTTTGGGTGAAAAATTAGGATTGTGTTTTGCCAGGAGGAGACAGTGGTAGCCACAGCTGGACAGAGGCTAACGGCCTAACCCAGGCTGCAAAAAAAATAGAGAGAGAGAGAGAGAAGGATCAAGAACCACAGCACTTCGTTAAAGGCACATGGCGGAAGACAAGAGAGAGATAAATATATAGAGAGAGTGTGACCCACCTATCAGATAGGTCTAAGGAGCGCCTGCTCTCGAGGGAGGGCTGGCGGCTCGTGCGCCGGCTGGACCCGGACGCAGACTCAGCGTCACTGTGCCCGTTTGTGGCAGAATCTACACTACCGTAGCGTCTGCCGGGAGGGGAGGGGGGGAGAGGAAAAGGGTCAGCAATGCATACCGAATGCCAGAGAGGGACGACCCCCTTCCCACCGTACCCAGAGACCACACTGAATGCCAGAAGGAGGGGTTTGGGGGAAAAGAAAATTTAAAAAAATGATTTTCTAATAAAGGAGCGAGGATGGGGGTACTGGAGTTATACCCCTCAGCACCTCGTTTTTTTTGGGGGGGGCGGATTCAAATCCGAGTCTGAACTTTACAAATGAGGCAGCAGGTCGTTTCTCACACCCTGGCCCGCCCGACGGGGAAATCCTAGGTCCTATCTCCCCTGTACCTGATCGGCCGGTGATCGGAATAATCCGTTCCGTAGCCCTGCATCGAATCGGCGTAGGAGTCCCGGGAAGCTCTCTGCTGGTGGCGGATGGGGTACTGATGGACTGAAGCGTTGGGCTGGGAGGTGGTGTAATACGGGGGAGGGATGCTGTTGCTGGTTTCGCTGCGGTAGTCGCTGTCTCGATCGTCCACCGTGCTGTCCGGGTCTTCGTCTACAAAGAGGCCCCGATATCAGGACGGGAGAGATCAAGCTACCATGAAGGTTGGTGGTGGTGGCCACTGAACCCCTCCCCCTGATGTTTGGGGCCCTACCTCCCATCAGACCGGCTGGTCCTGCCAGTGATAAAGGACCACGGGCATGATGAGTAAAAATAATCAGAAGGCGTGAAGCTGGACCACCAGCTACCACAACAGAGCATATACACTTGGAAGATGGACGGGCTTCCATTCATAGAATCATGAAGTTGGAAGGGGCCTCTACGGCCATCAAGTCCAACCCCCTGCTTGACGCAGGAATACAAAACGAAGGATATTCGCCAGGCGGTTGTCTAAGTTTCTCTAGAAGGCCTCCAGCGTTGGAGCGCCCACCGTCTCTCAAGATTAGGGGTTCCACTGTCTTACTGCTCTAATTGTGAACCTGCATGGTGGTGTGTGTCTCCATCTACAGATGCCTGACAACGGCGTTCGGACTGGGCAACCCGTCACGCCCACCTGCGCAAGCCGAAAACCTGCTCAACACCACGTTGTGCAGTTTTTGCCCAAGAACACAAGGCTGGGAACCACTGATCTCACAGGAGCAGAGTTCAGGAACGGATGAGATCCGTTGGGATTTACAGAGCACGAAATTAGTTCATGGTAAGAAGCAGAGCGAGAAGTTACGACTATTGGGGGGGGGCGCCCAGTGAACAATGACGTGTTGAGAAGTTTGGAAAAGGGGAGATTTAAAACAGAGTTGTGTCCATAGGTTGACATACGCTACGTGCTCCATTTGGGAGGCTGGAGTCAGGATGAGTGAAAGGAAGGGCATGGGGGAATGTACACGAGGAAGCCACAGGTTAGAGATTGGAGAACCCATCAGCCTGCAAAACTCTCTCTCCCCCCCCCTTGCCTTTGTTTCTCGCAGCTTGTGAGGGAAGAAGGCACCATACACTCGTCACGTTACCCCTGCCTGATCCGACAAGCGTCCACGAGGCTAACTCCATCACAACCTCTCTGCTTACATTGGGGTGGACAGGTCTGGGGTTAGTGTGACCCCAGGATCTTTGCTTCATTCCCTTCGGAAATGGGTGATCACAACGCAATTTTGGGAAGGGGGGAACCGGTGTTGGAGCCGTTGAAAATATTTTTGTCAGGGTGGGCTCACTGAACGGTTTTGAGGTATGGTTGTCCATTTCTGGCAACATTCTGTCGTTTTTCTCGTTAGTTCTTGAACAGCAGAACGCGCTGCATGACACTAGCGCTGAACAAGACGCAGTTCCTATTCCGGAGAGGCCGGATCGTGGCTGTCATCGTCACCGGCTGAAATCCAGTGGCAGTCGGGGTTATCCTAAAGGGTTATCCCTTTACGAAGGATTGCCAGCCATGAACACCCAGGCCCCCCCAGCGTGGCAAGCTTTGATCTGCGCCACTCAAAAGAGAGACAACGTTGCTCAACATGGACGCAACGGCTTTGGGGGCAGATGACGTCCGTTTCAGCGCCTGAGTGGCGACCGCTGGCACAGCTCCAAGGTAGGCGAAGCATCACCCCACAACACAATCCCAGCCATTGTATGGTTATTATTACAGTCAGTGGGTTCAATTGCCCTCCACATGCCTTCTGAAAAAATTAGAATCCTCAAGTCGCAGAATCTTAGGATTGGACGGGGGGGCCTCTAAGGCCATTGAGTCCAACCCCACCCCCACCCACCCCGCTCAAGGCAGGAATTCAAGTCAAAGCAGATCTGATAGACTATGGTCCAATTTTCCTCCTGAGGTCATGAGTCCCATCGTTGTACTGCTCTAACAGTTAAGATGCTTCCCCCCCCCACCCAGATATTCAGTCTAAATCTTACTTCCTGTCGCTTGAGCCCATTATCACATGTCCTGCACTCTGGGATGATGGAGAACAGATCCTGCCCCTCCTCTGTAGGACAGCCTTTCAAATAGCTGAAAAGTGCTCTCCTGTCTCCCCTCCTTTTCTCACGGATAAACATGCCCAGTTCTTTCAGTCTTTCCTCCTTCTAAAGCTTGGTTTCCACCCCCCTGATCCTCCTTCTTGCACCTCTTCTGAACTTGCTCTTTCCTCCTTCTAAAGCTTGGTTTCCACACACCCCCAATCCTCCTTCTTGCACCTCCTCTGAACTTGCTCCAGTTTGTCAGCATCCTTCTTGAAGTGCGGTGTCCAGAACTGGACTCAAGAGGAGGCCCGATACGTGGCTCACAGGATATAGCGGCAATATTGGGTGGGGTGGGAATAACCCTAGACTTGACCTCAGAGGGGCAGAGCAGAAGTCAGGGGAAGTATTTACGAGGGCCCTAATTGTAAGGAAGAAGTGGAACGGTTGTCGGATACTTACTTTGTTGATCGCCCCATCCAAAATAATTCCAGTTGCCTAAAAAAATAAAAAAAAACAGAAACGAAGACATGTCCCTTTAAGAGACAAGCCAAGCCTAAATATATTATTTTAGCCCTAAAATGGGGACGACATGGATGGTTATACCAAGGGAAAAGATGGTTGCCCTGCAGTTGGATGGGCTCCGGAAGATCACAAGCAGATTCTGAAGGTGTTTCTGTCTACTGATCTTCAGAGGTAAACTGCCTTTGAATGTGGAGGTTCTATTAAACCATTAAAGCTAAAGGCATTTTTGATGGATCTGATCCACGCGGGAGAGAACCTATTCTGCCTGAGTGTTCAGTCTCCCAGGCTAAACACAGAAAGGTGTAAAATCTTCTCCTGGCCTGCAAGACGGGACAAAGGCTTGCACTGACCTGAGAGACAGTCTGGATATTTTCAACACTGCCTTGAAAAAAACAAAGGGGGCAAAAAACTTCTAAACGTGCAAAACTGAAAACTCTGTGGATTGTGATTAAATACGGATGGATTATTTGAATCACTCTGGATGGATGTCTTTAGTTTCAGAAATTTGGAGGGGATGCTTAACAGAACCTCCATGTTCAGGAGCAGTCCTCCTCTCATGATTCAATGCTGAGGACCAGTGACTTGTCATTTCCCCCAAGCTCTGATTATGGACTTCCTTTCGGGCCATTCCCCCGCCCGTTCTCGGAAACAAGGTATTGGGTTAAAAGGGTTTTTCTCCTCAGTGATCTTTTCCGTGATGCTCTGATGCGACCCTGCGACTACTGTTTTGTTCTTTCGAGCAGAGCAAACGTTGGCCTGTCACTCCGATGATAAGCAAAACTGGCTCTCCCCACTGTCAATGCCCCTACCCCGGAGCCACTGGCGCCCCTTTTTACCCCCTCTGCCTCCCACAGAGAAAAGCACCCCCCCTTAGCCACCGGCTTCATGGCCCACCCGAAGGTGCTCCCGTTTGTTTTTCTGCAGCTCAGAAGAGGGCAGGGAAGACATTGGGAGAGAAATGAGGGGTGGAAGACACAGAGTGGGAAGGATAAGACGACGGGAGGATGGAAGTTACGGCAGCCAAAATAGTAACTGCTCGTTCTTTGGTTCTCTTGGATGAGAGAAGATGACCCCGTCACCAAAGAGGACCTCGACGGTGTTGAGTCGGTCCATCCACCACGATCCCCTAGCTGTCCCTTTGGGGCATTCTGAAAACGGACGATGGATGCGTCTGGAAAAGCCCACCCTGAGTTATAAGAACGCCCAGGAGAGGAGTGGCAAACGAGAGCATCAATACTTACAACATTGTGAGCCGGGGACCGGGAGAGGTTTCTCCTGCTCGTTCCAGAAGGAACATCATTGGAACCGTGGTGGTTTTCAAGGTAGAGAGGCGTTGGCGGCAGAGGAAAAGAAGCAAACACAGTCAGGTGTCAGCTTGAAAACAGTCACAAGAAATCCACTCCAGACCCCCGGGTTTCTCTCAGAAGAACAAAGCAAGACGAGAAGCACAAGCCGGGTTTTTGGGGATCAAAATTCAACCAATTGGAGTCACAGAAATGATCCACAGAGGTGGAAGGGTCTCAGGTTGGGAGGTGTGGGGTTGTGATATTCTATTGCACAGTAGGACACACACACACACACACACCCAATCTTTGGGAGGTGTGGGGTTGTGATATTCTATTGTACAGTAGGACACACACACACACCCAATTTTTGGGACCAGCATCCACTGATTCACTTATCCGCTGGCCGAAAACACTAAATAAAAAACCCCAGAAATACCTATTTATATGTATTTCCAGGGTGTGCTTACCAGAACAGGACAACAGAGGGAGACAGAAGTTGTACAACGTATAGTGTCCGATATTCCACATTTTTCAGCATCCGTGCATGTGTGTGTGTGTTCCTATTGTACATAATGTTTACTTTTTGTTTCACTACACCTCTCTGAAATGATCAGCTGCATAAAAGCATTTGTAAATAAAATACATCAGGCCTATGAGAAATTAGACAGAAGCTAATTCAGAAGCCAAAGATCATTAGTTCCCAGCTGTGGATCCCCAGACATTCTTGAACTACAACTCCCAGAAGCCTTCACCACTGTGCTGGATGGGAATTCTGGGAGTTGTAGTCCAGGAACCGCCGGGGACCCAAGGTGGGGAACTTCTGCCACAGATGAATGAACGGCCATGAGCCATCAAAGATGGGCTCCTACGTTATCTTTCAATATCGGTAGCTAAGGGAAAGATGAACTATCGCCAAGGGCCACCAGCAGTTGGTTTCCATCTAGAGTAGACCCACAGAATCTTTCACAAGGCGACAGCAACACTTCACTGAGTTAAATGGATTACTCTCGTCTAGACAAATGCTGGATTGATCCCCTCATGGCCCGTTGTGGGCTACCAGAAGCAATATTATTAGCCAACGGGTAGTAGGGATCGAGGCCTAGAGAAACTCTCAGACTCATTCACCAAGCCTTACTCCTTGTGTTGAAGCTGTTTCACGTGTGATTCTGTGCATTAAGAAAACATCATTTAAAACAAACACAACTCGGTAAAACTAAATGGACAATCATACGATTCTCAGCGTTGCTATTTCCAAGGACGACTTTTTTTATTTGCAGCGTTTATCAGGGCACCAAAGTAAATACTACCAAAAGAGAACCTTCCTTCCATTATATCATCTATTTTTGCAGGGATATATGCTCGTGTAGAGGTACCCATTGAACAGGGCACAAATCATCTTACAAATGTAGAAATTACAGACGAGAATGCTTTTTCGCAATATGTGTGTGTGTGGGGTCTCAGCAGCGCGTAGAAGCACTGGCGTGCCCCAGCAAAACACAGCACGAGAGAAAGCTCCCGCCAAGTGGGCCAAGAAGGCTTTCTTGAAGGTGTCATCCCTTTGCGTGTAAGAGGGAAATGCGACGCAGAAGGGTGAGAAATTTGGGAGAAAATTGGAGAAAGAGGTTGTTTGTTTGTTTGCAGCATTCCTGTTGGAAATCGGAGAGAGGAAGAAAGAGAGAGAGAGAGAGAGGTTTAAAGTTTTATTGGAAATCGGAGAGAGGAAGAAAGAGAGAAATAGAGGGGTTTAAAATTTTTAAAAAATAACACGCACATCACAAATGCGCGCACATACTCTTATGTCATCCTGGTCTCGCATCGCATTGAGCCGCTCAAGTTCCTTGACCCAATAGCGTGCTTCTTCTTCAGGGATATCTACGAGAGGAGAGGAAAAGCAAAAGGTTTGAAAGAAGAAAGGCTGACAGCAGAATCAAGCAAAAACTAAATCGAGGGCTGTCTGGTCAATTCTGATTTACGGCGAATTCTGAACTTTCGGGTGGGTGGGGGAACACTCAGAAGTGGTTCACCAGGGCTACGAATCTGGGTGAGATAGGACACAATTCCACAAGAACATCATGGTGGGTGGCAATGATCACCCTTGTACAGTAGGACCCCCGTATCTGTGTGGGATAAGGTCCAACCTTCCCTGCGGATACTGAAAAGTGCAGATGATAACAGACATTACCTTAAGAGTGAATGCTATGCATAGCATGGTCTCTGGTTCCCTCTAATGGCCAGTTCTGGTAATGACATTGGAGAAATCTATTTCTCTAGCAAATGCTATGCACAGCATGGTGTCTGGCTCCCTCTAATGGCCAGTTCTGGTAAGTTCATCTCGAGAAATTTATATTTCTAGGATTTTTCTTTTAAGAGATTAAGATTTTCAGACCGTGGATGAGCAAATCCTGTGGATACGGGGGTGGGTCCTACTGCCTCTGATATCAATCAGATCTGGGTGCACTCATGAAGGGCCCACAAAGTCTGGAAGAATTAATTATCCATAAAAGCAGAATGCTTTGTCAAATATGTTCGGGTGCATGTAAGTTCTTTAGAAGAAAACACATCCAGGCACATGCCTTTGTATTCTGCCTTGGGCAGACCCTCCCACTTTGAAAAATTTGTACCCCCCACCCCAGCGGCCACCATACCGAGTGGAAGCTCAAAGCGTGTATCTAACTGGATGCGATGGAAGGTGGGATCCTTCGTGCCGGAAATTTCATTGTCTGTCATGATAACCTGAGAGTCAAGGGTTAGCCATTCCCCAGGGCCATCCTGTGGGGGATGACAAAAGGGGTTCAGATCAAAGAGAGCTCACCACGAACCCATGCTGCCCACTGACTCCCATGTTTTGATCCTTCAAGGGACCACCTTCCACGAGGTCTCCCCTCTAGACCTACCTCGTTCGATTGCCGGATAGTACTTAATGGGATCCACACGGTGCCCACCATGGTGTCCCAGATCAGGCCTTTGTTCCACACTTCCACCGTCAACCCAAGATCGAGCCGGTTAATCTCACTGCAAAACGGGACCCAAAAATGGCAAAGTTAGTGTTGTCGTCTTCCACATTTCCGTTTGGGCAACATTTGAACTGGACTCAACCTAAATGTCCCATCCCCAAATCTGGGCCCATTCTCTCTGTTCGGGTCAAAATTGAAAGGGTGGGGCTATTTCCAGCACACACACACACACACAAAGATAGGATTCTACTAGCCTGCCTCATAGATCCGAAAGTGGAGGAACTTGGAATGAAGGAATTCCAAAGCATGTAGTTTAACACCCATCCCGGGATAATTTAGGAGCTTCTCTGCATCTCCAGCCACCTCAACTATTACAGTCCCTAGCTTGAATCTTCAAAAGACCAGTTCTGGGGGATATTGAAAGGGTCTAATCAACAGAAATTAGATTTTCTGGACTACAAATCCCATGATTCCCCCATTCTGAGAGTTCTATGTGACATTTTTGACACACCTGACTTTGGCTCGCCTGTGTGACAAGGCCAAACCCTTAAGGCTTTGAGGCCTACCTAGGCCTAGCTCGGCCGAAACTTCTACTTCCTGCCCCAGTGCTAGCTGGAAGCTTTCTTTCTGAACAGGAAGCTAGGCCTAGCTAGGCCTAGTTCGGCCTCAAAGCCTGGGAGGCCGTGTCTCCCAGGTGAGCCACATTTAGGTCTCTGTAAAGTAGGTGGGCCTCACAGAATGGAGAATGACAGTCTCCGTAGTGCAGAAAATATGACAATATCATGCAACACAGGTCTATTTTTTCCCTAGCTTTGCCTCTTCCTCCTGGTTCTGTCCAATACAGGATGCTAGGCCTTGCACCCCATAGATTCCAGTAAGTGCCAGTTGCCATTGTTCTGCCTTGACTCTCTGTTGTCCTGCAACTTCGAAAACACAGCCACTCCTGGGGGGGGGGGGAGAGAGACCAGCTCTCCTTCATGGACTTACAACATGAAGTCTTGCTCCCAACAAGGGAGGTTTCCGCGCACAGCGATGGTGGTACTCTTCACATTCTGAACTTTGAGTGTCACGTAAGTGTTGAATTTTTCTGTCAGGGAAGAAAATCAATGCATGAAGGTAGGAAGTAGCAGGCATCAGGAGAAGATGGAGGAGAAACATGGCAAGCTTCTGACCGGCACAGAACTCTTTTGACTATGTGTACATCCAGATTTATCCCGCCTATGAGACCAGCAAAATTAGGAACATCTAATAAGAACATGCATTCTATCCACCACTCCAACGAGATCAGGATTTAGAATTAGGCCTTTAGCCTTCATCACGGATAATGTATGCAAAGAATTAATGCTTCCCTCTCTTTCCTCTCGTTTTCTTTCCCCCCAGTTCCTGATGGGAATCCCAGACTCTTGAGAACTTTTGAAGCCATGATTACAAGATCCAAAAGCACATCTAACTTAGCATCCTGTTCCTACTGTCATAGATCACTATGAAGTCCCAAAGAGGACTTAGGCTCAAAAGCAATACTTTGTCCAGGTTTCCCAGCAAGTGGTTATCTCGAGCCATACTGTCTCTGGAGGGGGGTCGCATAAGCTCATGGTCAAAGCCATTGCTGGGGTGGATGGACCTCAGAAAATCCAAAAGTTCCTCTGTAGACTATTTCTGTACCAAGCATGCTCCAGTATAGATTTTAATCCACCCCTTTCCTTTTCCATATGGACTCACATGGGGATTTTTTTCAATCATGGATGACCAATGACAACCAGAGGCCACCAGAGGGCGCTCGTTTTGCATCGTTCTTTAAAGCTAAAGCCTTAGCATTTTTTAAGGCTCTCAGAATTGCAAACTTACTCCAAATTAGCAAAGTTATGCGACATTTCTAGGAGTGGCCGGTTTACTTCAGTGTGAGACTTCTGCGGATTGCAATCCACTTCTTCAGACACAAAGAGGGGATTATAGGAAGGCCGCAGGTTTATTATACTCAGTGTTCAGCACTATTTGCTATCCTAGGGTTTGAACCAGCCTTTATTTTACTCATGGACCATGTGGTTGTTTTTCTTTTTGATTCGGTAATGGTACAGAAGAGAAGGAAATGATGACTTACCTTGGGGGCCATCAAACTTGGCTTTTTTGACTGAAAGGAAAGAGAGAGAGAGAGAGAATAAAATGATTACTTCCTTAATCCAATAAAAGGAAAAAAAGAGAGAGAGAGAGAGAGAATAAAATGATTATTTCCTCAATCCAATGTAAATGTTTCTGGGATGTTTGTATAAGGGCAGGGGTTCCCAACCTTGAGTTGCCAGAGGTTCATGGACTACAACTCCCAGAAGTCTTTACCACCTGCCATGCCAGCCAGGATTTCAGGGAGTTGTCATCAAAGAACCTCTGGTGGCCCAAGGTTGGGAACCCCTGGTATCAGAAGAAAATATTATCTGATTGCTTAGAAACACATGGGCTTTCTCTTGCTTCCATGTTATCCCTCCAGGCACGTCTTTCTTCGCATTTCTCTTCCGTAACCACCTCCCAAACTCTGATCCAGCTGCCTGCCCGTAGCTTTCTGGAACAGGTTTAGAGACGGTGAGAAGACGCCAACGCCAACGTTCTTAACCCAAGACCCACATCTTGACCAACAGAGAGGCATCTGGAACCGGCAGTTCCTTGGGCGGCTATTGAACGATGAAGCTCTGAACCACGTCCTCCCGACCGGCCACCGGGTAGTAGATTTGCAGTGCAAAGAAAAGCCGAAAACCACTCAATGTTTTGGCACAGAGCGGCCCTGCCAAGAGGAGACATACATACACAAGTGTTCGAACCCCGTTTTGCAGAATCTCCTCTGTTCAAGCTGGGATTAGCAACAGACGGGGTGTGCATTGGATGCTTCCCTGGCTGAATGAGCATCAGCCTCATTTCTGGCTGACTCAGGCAGTCAAATCTCTCACATTCGCCCCAGACAACAATGACTCGAGTTACGGGACTCGCTATCAAATCGGTCTCAACTCACACCAGCAACTTGGGGTTGTTTTGTTCCCCCCCCAATGACTCGGATTCGAGTCACGACTCAGAACCCACCCACCCTTGCCTTTTTTTTCTGGGGGGGCAGGAAGCTTGCTTTCAATGGGGACTTGGGCTCGGGATTTGAGACTTGGTACCAAAGATTCAGACTTAGGGCTTCGGATAAAACAGCTTGCCAACATCGCCGGAGATTTCTCTTCATCGCCAACTAGGAAACACACACCCCCAACCGAATCGTCCATTGTTTCAGAGGGAAAAGCCGGTTGTTCTTTATCCTGTGCTCATTCCAACGTTCTCCTTGCAGGCGAGTCAGAAGACCCCGGGTTACCTTCTTCTCTCCCTCTCTCTCACACACACACACACTCCTGGAGAAGCACTGACCTAGTTTTCCAGGAGCCAGGAGGCAGTGCCTTAGGGTAGGATCCAGCAGCACGTCTCCCTTCCTCACCCTCACTGAACTCCCACGCTCTGGCGTGACTCAGGCTGAGCTCAAATCCCCCCCCCCTGCCTCTCTTCCACTTCCACGCAGGCCACTTCCACTCCCGGATCTTCCCCACAGGCGCCAAAGAGCCAGCGTGGCGTCGGGACTCGGGACCTGGATTCGACACACACAGACACCATGGGGCCAGCTTATAGACAAGTGAGATCCATCGGCAAATCTAACTGTCAGGAGTAGAGGGGTCATCGATGTCAACCCTGTGAGCCCTTGGTACTTTTTTAAATGTCACCCATCCTCACTTGGCTGATAGTCCCTCATTTCATGGAACGACAACGCCTGGGCGGATTTCGAAGCACAGCCTCCCGGGGTTTGGAAGATGGCCGATCCATTTGGAAACTGTTATAAAACATCCACGGCTCCTTTTTTCTTTTTTAAGAGGAGAATATACAGTCAGATGGTGAGGAACGAACTCAGAAATCTAGCCTCTGCAGCCCAGGAGGGGGAAAACCGCTCCATGCCAACAAAAAACCAGAGGGGGAGATTCCGGGAGCGCAGACCGAAGGTCAAGGAGCAGACGAGAGAACCATCTTGAACCCAAGATACAGCTGCCCCTCTGGTGTGTGTGTGTGTGAGTCCCGTTCGCAGATTGATGAGGCATGTTTCCAAAATTCGCCACATCCGGTTTGCCCCGTTCAGCGCTTCCGAATTCTATCTTCCCTTAGTCGAAGAATATAAACTCATCATACTCAAAGAGTCGGAAGGGATCTTAGCAGTTGGGTAGACCAGGATGGGAAGGGAACCTCCAGAGATGCTCAACAACAATCAACATTTGCAAATTTTAAAAGTCAAATGTGGGGAATGATGATTATTATTATTTTGACACTTTCGGGGGGCACCCATGATCTGTTTTAGCTCTGTGGGGGGCAGGGGCCTTCAAAGCCAGAGGTGGCCTCTAAGATCGGAGGCTCAAAAAATTGGAGGTGGGACAAAGGCCGGGGTGGATTATGACCCTCCAACGTTTGGGTATGGTCTCCCACACTTCTAGATCTCTGAGGAATCTTTCAGACAAATCCCAGGCTCAGTCTGTGGTTTCAGATGAGGAAACCACGGCTCTCCCAAAAAGTAAAACCATCAGAATTCTCCATGGCATTGTTTCTTTTCTCTCAGTTTTCACTTTGCACGGATCCGGAGATGGCTTTTCCCCGCTTCAAATCTAACTCAAGTCCATTTGGGAGGGGGGGGCTCATGTTCAAGGGGTGGGCAGGGCCGATGGCAAAAGGGGTGGGGCCAAACCCACCAAGGTGATCTTTTACCTTGAAGCTCTTCCCACCAGGAAGTAATGGTGAAGAGATGCCATTGAACCTTTCAGAATGGGGAGAAACAGGGCGGGGAACCCCATGGTATCGCAGGGAACCCCACGGGCTACGGGCTGCTGAATGGCATGACTTGCGCAAGAACCTGAATCCGGTTCCCATCTTTATCTTGGAAGCAAAGGATCCTGGCGTTGGAAGGGGCCTCAAACAGCCATCAAGTCCAACCCACTGCTCAAGGCCGGGATTCAAATCCAAGCAGATCTGACCGCGGGTTTTCCCATTGTCTCTTCAATCCTGGACTTAATAGCATGTGTTTTTTTGGGCAGAGAGCGATGGGTGCTTTCCTGCTGTCCACAGATTTCGGACGGTTGTGATTTTCCTTGTGAGGCTGCTTCGTTTTCCTACAAGAAGGCGAGAATGCCGAAGTGCAGATTTTCAACAGGGTTGCAAATATTTCTTCCCCACTGCAGGCGGTGGCCTAGTTTTTAAAAATGCACCAGCCTAGCAGAGAGCGAGAGCGAGCGAGAGATCTATTTATTCCTGAACAACATCCACAGAGAAACACATATAGGTGGATGCATCATCATCATCATCATCAAGGCCTTCAACTGACAGCTCTCCCCATGCTCGGACTTGCAAGCCATATCAGTTTGGGCTCCGCCACCGAAAAGAGTGGTTTTTTGGAGACAGGATTTCTTTACAAGAGAACCAGCCAAGAATTTGGCCTGGAGCAGGTGGGTTCCTCCAGAGATCTCCCACACCAGGTCCCATCGTCCTGCTCCCAGGTGGCTGATGGGAGGCATAGTCCAAAGTATCAAGGGAATGCTGAGGTTGGCCACGGACAGCTACTTCCTACCTCAAGTTTACGAATGGGGTGAGAGGAAGCTCGTGTTCGGAGGCCGTACTAGGCGATCTCCCTTGGGCCATCCCAATTGATTTCTCCGCCTGAGGCAGAGCAGCAAAGAGCAACCCTCTTGCCAAATCAAGGTGTGCCACCATCATCAAGGGAGACGATGAGGATGATCGTTATCATTTTAGAATGGCAGAGCTGGAAGGGACCCTACAGATCATTGGGGCCGGCCCCTGTCAAGGAGTCCCCGTGTAGGATTCGAACTCCCAACCTCTGGCCTAATAAAACAAGGAAGCTGTGACATGCTGGATAGCCCCAGGATTTTAGCCTCCATCTGCAGAGCCAGAGGTTAAGAGTTCGAATCCCCCACTGGGCCTCCTTAACAGCCTCGAACCTTCATGTGAAGGAATAGCAGTGAACCTCCATGACAAGGAGATGTCTACCAGAGGTTCCTGTACACTTCGATCGATCGCTTCGTACGGATTATTGAGGGGAAGAAAGAATTTCAGACTCGGGGCCCAAACCAAGTCCCTCAAGCTAGCCTGCCGGCGCTCAGCAGCAGGCAGATGTTCACCAGGTGGAGTCTCCTCCTTTGCTCCCCATCAAGTTTCGACGCTTCCTTAGGGAAGGGGGCCTCAAAACACTGAATTTCCCCCACTATGACTCACAAGCAAGAGGGAACACGCCCGTCTGCCAGCAGCCCGACAGATATTCTAATTGACTCACTGCTAAGATCAAGTGGAAATTCAAATAAAGCAGTGACGGGAGGCATGTTCCGGGGGTGGGGGGTGGGTGGGAACTAATTTAATCCGTTGCCACATAGGTTGGATGGAGAACGAAGCTTATTAACCCCAAAGTCTGTCAGAATAAATCGAACCTGTTCCATATTTAGACTGGCAGGTTAATAATCTTAAAAGAACCATCATTTCCTCACCCCAAAATACATGATAATAAGCTCCTTTCTCAGCAGTCTAAGCTGCCTCTTCCTTTCAATGCACAAAAGAACAGAATTCCCGTTCTGGGGGGTATATTCTGCTTTTTGAAGCTCCTCCCCCTCCCTGAGCCACACCCCCCTTTGGCCACGCCTCCCCCCAAAACTCTTCCATGGATTACTGGCTTTCCCTCTTCAGAGCCAATAATGGTCCCCATGACGAGGACAATAATGTCCTTTCCATGTGTTTTCATGGGATTCTCGTCATGGGGACCGATATGAGAGGTCACGGGGTGAGAAGATATTCTGGGGCGGGGGGGTAAAGACAAACAAACGAGGCCCCGGACGAATGAATTTCATCCGAAAACCTGGGCATTTGCAACATTCGACCACAAAACCCACTGAAAGGAGCACCCCTTCGCCAAAAGGAATCACAGATATGGCAACATTCAAGTTGACCGCCAAAGCTATTGTTGTGCGTTATCCATGGCGACCCTAATAAGGGTTTCGAGGTATGGAAGATCTTCAAGGAATAGTTCCCACAGTCACCTTCCGCACTAGTGAGGCTCTACCGCTGAGCTGAGATTTGAACCCAGTACTCTGGAGCGCCAGGCCACCACACCATCCACAACACCATCCAGGCTGCCGGTGCTATTATTAACTCTCCTGGAACAGTGCCTTGTCTCGCCCTTCATTCATAAATTGTCCTCTACAATGGCTGTCACTTCCTGAAGCAACCCGAGACAGCTCCCTTCGGCAAGCTCGGCCTGGAGGCTCTTTCACAAACACACGCACACATGATTGCACCCGTTTTGCAAAACGGCACCCTTCAGGCTTAGGTTCCCCCCCCCCTTTGTCTCATTCCTCCAATCACCCAGCCGGTGCCTTCTCCGGACATTCTGCCGCCCGAGGTAGCTGCTCCCCTCGAACTTGGGGCCAAGGGCGCCACCCTAACCCAGGCCGTGTGCCTCTTGCAGGACTGGATGAGATCCACCACCCGTGGCCAGTGTTTAGAAGCACCAATTTCGTTTGGAAATCTAAGAAGGGATGCATATATGATTCAGTGGAAGCAAGGGAGACATGACAGGCGTTTGCAAGAATCCAAGGCTTTCACTGAGTACAAATCTCACTAATTTCAATTTTTTCTCCCCCTCTGGCCGTCACGCAAACCGCTCTTCCCATACGGCCTCTTCCTGCAGCCTACGGCTTAGCAAGAAAAGAGGAAGGAGGCAGGAGAATCGACCAGGACAGATTTTGCCTTTTGGAGGCCATTTGAGTCAACGGCTGCAAAACCTCCCTCAGGATCGTCATCCCCACGTGCTTGCGGGTGATTTTTTTTCCCCTCAATGACAGACGCCCATTGAGGCTTCTTCCCCTCGCACGTTGAAATGATTTTTTTTAAAGAAAAAAAAGGAAGCCATCAGGCCACGTCAGCAGCCAGGAACTGATCGGCCGCAGGCCTGGTTTTATGAATCGACGCCGAGCCAAAGCAAAGATCATGCCAGGCGAACGAGAGGCAAATCTTGACGTGGATTTGTCAACCTGGCTCTCATTATTTTTTTCCCAGTACCAGCCTTCTCTCACTGCCCTTTCCTTGGCTAAACATATTGGCGCTCTGAACCTCCAAATTGCTTTGCCAGATCAAATCCCTCCCCCAAGAAAACCCCACACCAACTCCTGCCCCTCTGTTTCCAACAGCCACCAAAATGTGCCATGTAAACCACCGTCTGGGTGTGACCACCACCAAAACCGATGGCTTTTGCCTTTTTGTCGGTTGTCAGAGGTGAAATTTTAAGGTTTGCGTTACCCATCATCCTGGATTTCTGTTAAGCAGACTATGGGAAGTTGCGAATTTAATAATTAAAAAAGAAAAAGAAAATCCAGTGGCAGTGAGTACCACAGGCTGATGGGTCAGAACATTACAGTGATCGGTCATAGGGGTAACAATATCGTTATTAGTGGTCTTTCTGTCTGTCTGTCTGTCAGTATGATTGTGATCATGATGATTAAAGGTTACAGGCCAGAAACCTACTTACAGGAACTTACAGCTACAATGTAATGCTATTGTTCTTTTATAATAATGATGATAAATAATACAGTAATCTGTGTTGTCTTTCTGGTCTTAGGGGTGGACTCGTCATTTCTTCAAAGGCCTTCCATTTTTTTCAAGATAGATAGATGGATTGATAGATGGACGGACGGACAGAAAGAGAGACAGAGAGACAGAGAGACAGAGAGACAGAGAGACAGAGAGATAGACAGATAGACAGACAGACAGACAGATAGATAGCTAGATAGATAGATAGATAGATAGATAGATAGATAGATAGA